AGTGAATTGTAATGGTAGATCTCAGTGTAATGGCATGGATACAAAAAATCCCTAATAGATACCGATTCGGGTCATTCGTTCAGGCTCTCGATTCTTAGACCATCCGCTCCCAACGCGCTTGGGTCGGTGCTACTACCTCCATCCCAAATTATAAGTCATTCTAACTTTCTTGGAGAGTCAAAGCATCTCAAGTTTGACCAAATTTATATAATAAAATAATAGCATTTATGATACCAAATAAGTATTATTAGATTTTTCATTAATTATATTTTTATAGTAATACCTATTTGATGTCATAAATCTTTATAATTCTCTCTGTAATTTTGGTCAAACTTGATATGCTTTAACTCTTTAAGAAAGTTGGAATGACTTATAATTTGGAATAGAGGGAGGACAACACACAAAGGGGCCATCGGCTCCCTCCGCCGCCCCTTCACCACAGTAGGAGAACCACCCGCCGCTGCCCCTATGAAGCCGCATGACACCGCCTGGCATGCTAGGGTTCCATTGGGCACTGCAACACCAGAAGCCACGACGGTGCCGCCCTCCACTGGCCGACGCCATGATCCCCTTTGAGGTCTCTACTGGGCATTTTTTGCCAGTTCAGATAGCCTGAAAAGGAGAAGAGAATAAAGAAAATAGAAAATATAAAAGAAATAGGGAGAAGTCCCTTGAATCAAAACAATTCTTAGGCACAGAATTAAATATCCAAAGATGAACAAATTGAGCATTGAAAGATATGAGGCACACATATTCGACATCAAATATCAAAATTTTTCATCGCTACACGGTGCCAATGCACTCGCTAACGGATCTCAACACCCGCAAGCTGCCTTCATGTTTGGTGACGTCTCTGGTAGTCGCCATCACCGTGGGTGCCCCCACAGGTACAGTGGAGGGCAAGGCGGTGGCGGGATGATGAGTAGTCGTGGTAGTTTGTTTGTGCTGGGAAGTGGGCCCTGTAGGAGCTTAGTGGTGAGTCAAGGCGGACAGAGAGAGTTTGGGGGCCTGGCAAGTGGCTATGGAAGATGGATTGCAGGATTACATCATTTTATTTATCTAATCTAATAAATTGTTCTTGGATCAGTTTTATTGTATGAATCCAACTGAGTAGTAAAGTTTCGATACTTACAACGGTCACACCTCCAGTTTAATACCAATTTTCCCTTTCTACCTTCGGTTAAATACTAATTTTCCCTTCCTACTCTCCTCTCCGTATGAGAGCTCCCCCTCCCTCGTTCCCTATTCTCCCATTCCCGAACTATTGTTTTATTTTGAAGAGTTTGGAGTTTGATTTCACTAGAGCTGCTCTTAGAGCTACCTTTGCAACTCATGATCTCTGAGTCCACTCAATAACTTTCTGAAAGCAGACCAACTTTAAGAGCATCTTTACATCCTTCCATATTCATACGAATAGAGATTTTGGTGGAAAAAAAAAGTACAACACAACTTCTTCAATTAGACCTCTAAAAAGAATCATCTTCTATTCCTAGTTTCTCGCTAGCCAAAGATGAATGACTCTCCAAAGTTTGCACAAGATATAAAGAAGCTGATGGAAGATGAAAACATATGAAAATGATTTTTATTCAAATGACTCTTCAGGTAAGGATTTAGAAAGTGATTTTAAGACTCTCAAAGATGCTCTGGCAACTCCAAGAGATTAGCTAAACATAGATTCCAAAAATCCATGATTATCCATTCTCTAAGAGAAAACCTCAAAAAAAACATGTGTACTCCAACCTCTATAAATTTTTCATTTTCTATATTCAAAACCGTGACATCATATATCTATTTCCTTTCGTATCCAACGTCGCAAACCGTCAACTAGGCCTTCTCGCTGCTAGAAATCTTCGCCCATTTACGTGGCCGCGCCATGGCCTTTGGGGAGGTGGGGAGGGGTTGGCATTCCAGGTGGCTGCAACCGGCGAACAGCCAAAACAAGCATTGCTGGCAGGGAGCAAGGACAGACTTAAAAAATATTCATTACATCATGCCTCGTTGTGGTCACAAGTGCTACATTCTGCATCATAACTCAGAAATCATTATCTCATTCAATCATTCTTCATAAGTGCAACATCAGTTCTATTAACAGCCATGATAAAATATGCTGATACTGCAAGAGAAAACCTCACATCTACTTGACTTTTAACTTGCAGCTAATTTCCCAGGTGTAAACAGCAAGCCAAGACGGTTTTCTTGGAGATCCATACATCCTTGTAAGATTTACTAACAATCAATACAGGCTGGCCTCTCCAAGAAAATGATACTCTGCAGGGAGAAATCTTATGTGTTCCCGACAAGTCCCTTTGCTTGAGAAGAGATCGATCAGCAACATTGTGGTTGAATGTTCAAGTGAGAAATTTGTCTCATCAATTCAGCCCTGACTATTTCACGTTTCTCTAGTAATTGCTTCTGATAGAATGATTATTGCCAGACTGAGCACTTTCTATTCATTGAACAAGAGTTTATATAGGGGATACATGACTCTTCGTATAAGACTTATCACATTCTAGACTTATCACATTCTAGACTATTTGTATTCTAATACCCTCCCGCAGACTCAACCGGGAGATGAGCGAACGTTGAGACTGGAGCGGAAATTGATGAAGACAGCAGTTGGCAAACCCTTGGTGAATATATCAGCATATTGAAGAGACGTTGGAACATGAAGTACTCGGACAGCTCCAAGGGCCACACGCTCCCGAACAAAATGGAGATCGATCTCCACATGCTTGGTCCTTTGGTGATGAACTGGATTTGTGGACAAATACACGGCACTGATATTGTCACAATAGACAAGAGTAGCACGTGTTAAAGGACGACGAAGCTCACTCAGGAGCTGACGAATCCAGCATGTCTCAGCCACAGCATTGGCAACACCCCTGTATTCAGCTTCAGCACTAGACCACGAGACGGTGTGTTGGCGCTTGGAGGACCATGATATAAGATTATCACCAAGAAATACACAATAGCCAGAAGTGGAGCGACGTGTGTCTGGGCAGCCAGCCCAATCGGCATCTGAGTAAACCACTAGCTCATGAGATCGGCTGCGAGAAAGAGCAAGGCCGTAGTCCATAGTGCCTTTGATGTATCGCAAAATGCTTTTGATGAGAGCAAAGTGCGACTCCTTGGGATCATGCGTATACAGGCAAACTTGTTGAACGGCATGAGCAATGTCCGGCCGTGTGAGAGTCAAGTATTGTAAGGCACCAAAGAAGATCATGTATAATGTAGGGTCAGCAACTGGTGGTCCATCTTGGGAGGACAGCTTTGAATGAACCTCAAGTGGAGTTTGGCAAGGGTTGCATGATGACATGTTTGCCTTGACCAGGATTTCAGCAGCATATTTAGCTTGAGACAGAAAAAGACCTGTGGATGACCGTTCAGCAGAAACTCCCAAGAAATAGTGAAGATTGCCAAGATCGGTCATGGCAAATTCCTCATGAAGGAGCCAATAATATGTTGAAGAAGATGATGGGATGAAGTCTGTCAAAATGATGTCATCCACATACAGTAGAAGATATGCCATATCCGTACCATGAGTATATATGAAAAGTGAAGTATCACATTGAGAAGCCTGAAAACTAATAGAAGTAATGAACGCCTGGAAGCGACTATACCAAGCCCGCGGGGCCTGTTTAAGACCGTATAGAGCCTTGTTGAGCTTGCACACATAATTAGGACGAGAAGGGTCAACAAACCCAGGTGGTTGTTGGCAATAAACAGTCTCGTTGAGAGTACCATGTAAGAATGCATTTTTGACATCCAGTTGATGAATAGGCCAATCACTGGAGACAGCAAGTGATAATACCGTGCGAATTGTTGCAGGCTTGACCTCTGGACTGAAGGTTTCATCATAATCAAGGCCGTGTTGTTGAGAGAAGCCGCGCACAACCCAACGAGCCTTGTATCTTGCCAAAGACCCATCAACATTTAGTTTGTGACGGTATAGCCATTTGCCGGAAACAATATTAGCATGTGGAGGCGGTGGCACAAGGTCCCATGTTTGATTAGCAATGAGGGCACCATATTCCTCCTCCATGGCACGCTTCCAATTCGGATCAGAAAGAGCACCACGATATGTTTTTGGAAGCAAGCTAATATCTTTGGAAGCCGCTGCCAGATTGCAGTAAGCCTGCCCGTCTTGCTGTCGTGGCTGGCTGATGCCAAACTTGCCCCTGGTTTGCATGGCGTGCTGATTGATGGTGGGAGGGACAGGCACAATCGGCGCATTTGAGGAGCGCATAGCAGCAGGGATGACAGTGGAGGTGGTGCTGGGCAGCGCAGGAGATGGCACTAGTGGTGGTTGATCTGCAGGCACTGGTGGTGCTCCAGGAGGTTCCTGTCGGCGTGTGTATACTTGCATAACCGGAGGTCGATAGTGCAGGCCTCCAGCAGACGTACCGGACTGGTGGCCCAGATCATTGACAGGGCTGTCAGAAGCCAAATCTTGGCCCTGAAAGACAAGAGGAAGGGGTGCTGCACCTGATCCCTGCCCTTGTCGCGGTTGGCTGGAAGTCGTGCCTTGATGATGTGGAGGTACAGCAGCTGGTTGGGCAGCTGAAGGCACAACTGGACCAGCGCCTGGCGAAGCCATCGGTGGGCCAGCAGAGTTAGAAGGCACTGCTGGGAAGCCGCCGGATATCACCGGATCAACATCTGTATCATCCAAACCTCTGACCAAGGCGCTTCCCTGAGGCTGAACCCAAATGGCATCATGAGGATCATCCCTAGGAAAGATGCCCGCTAGAGTTCTTCCACCAATCCTTGTTTTATAAGATTTGTCATCATTACACTGTATGTCGCAACAGAAGGCACCAGTCCATTTCCTGAGATTCAAGCAAACAGATCCTTGGCTTCTTCAACTCTCCTAGTTTGAAACATTCCAGCTATCATGATAGTAAGAGTTTTGATATCAATCTTTACATGGATTGCACGTAGTTCTTTGAAAAGCAAGATTGCTTCATTAGAACAACTGTTTTTAAAAAGTCCAGTAAGAACTATGTTGCATGTATTGTGTGCACTGAGATTCTGCTTTCAGTCATTTCATGGAACATTTCCAATGCAGAAACTGTTCTCCCAGCCTGAAATAACCCATCAAGTATGATGCTGTATAAAATAGTTGAAGGCTTCATTCCCTTGTGCAAAATTTCTTTGAAAAGTCTCAATCCTTCATCGATCCTTCCAACTTTACAATAGCCATTAACAAGTGTACCGTACACTACAACATTTGGTTCAATGCCAGCTGACACCATAGCATCAAATACTCTTAATGCTTTCTCCATCTTGGCAACTTTACAATAGCCATTAACAAGTGTACCGTACACTACAACATTTGGTTCAATGCCAGCTGACACCATAGCATCAAATACTCTTAATGCTTTCTCCATCTTGCCAACTAGACAGTACCCATCCATCAGCATACTATACACCATAACAGTAGGATGCAGACCAATACTTACAGTTAAATCAAAATATATCTTGTGCGTCCATTACCCTTCCCACTTTGCAAAGGTTGTTTATTATCGAACTGAAGGAAACAATGTCAGGACGCATACCTTTATTCATCATTTCCAAAACCAACTCCTTAGCTTTTGTCAAACCACCATGAATGCAAAAACCTTGAACCAGGCACCTGTAAGTAGCTATACTGGGTATTACTCCTTGGTCAATCATCTGATTAAATTTTTCCTCAGCATTATCCATCTTACCAATTCTGCAAAGCGCAGCTATCACTGTCAAATAAGTTACGACATTAGGTTCCACTACTTGCTCCCTCATTTCATTGAAGATAATCATAGCCCTATCTAGCATTCCACATTTAGCATATGCCTTGATCAGCACATTGAAAATATGGCTGTTAGGTGTAATACTGTCTCCTAGCATCAAATTGAAGAGATCTGTCAGATCAACTAGGCATCCTTGAGTAGCGTACCCATTAAGCATAATATGGTAGGAGACAACATTAGGTCTTTGGCCCTTCATTGCCATTGAGTCAAAAACATCTCTAGCATCCTTGTATTTTCCATGCTTGCATAGGGAAGCCATTAACATGTTCAAACTTCAAAGTAACAACATTTGGTAAGATGCCCTGACTTGTCATCTTTTTAAATACCCTAACGGCCTCCTTCCATTGGCCCATAGAGGAATATTCATAGATCAAGTTGTTATACGTCCTGTTATTTGGAAGAACACCTTTATCAACCATTTGTCGAAGGACAGACTCTGCCTTGTGTCCATTGCTCTTGCGTTACATAGTGCATGAACAATGGAGCTATAAATCACTAAATTTGGTGAAATCCCCCGCTGCATCATTTCATTGAACAGATCACATGCTTTAGCAACATTGCCCTCCTTAAAGAAGCCATCGATGACCGTAGTATACGCAACCACGTCGGGCGAGCAGACAGCTTTCCTTTCAGCCATCATTCGTAGCAATTCATATGCCTGGCCACTCTTTCCGTCGTTGCAGAAGCTCTTCAGAAGTATGCAGTACGAGAAAACATCAGGCTCACAGCCCAACTCAGGCATTCTGTGGAGAAGGATGTCCAGAGCCTCGTATGTTAGCTTTGCTTCACAAAGGCCCTTGAGAAGGTTGGTGATCATGATGGTATTGACGCCCAAGCCTGTCTTGAGAACCTGGCCGAAGAAGGCCAGCGTTAGCTCCGGGTGGTGCGCGCGGGTGCAGCAGTCCATGAGGTGCATACTGTAGGGGACAGCACCTGTGGGCCGTCCGCTCGAGACGCGCGGTTGAAGAGAGCGACGGCAACGGCAGGACCATCTCTGCAGGCGGCGGAGGACGGCGCACGCGCGAGCGCCGAGAGGAACCCGTTCAGCGTGCGCTCGGGGACGGGGGTGGCTTGACGCAGCAATTCGTCGAACAGGTGGTGTGCCTCCTCTGGGCGGAACGTCCCTGACAGGACCCGCGCCGTGGCGACGGCGAGGACGAGGTGGGGAGCGCGCGGCGACGGCGAGGAGGAAGCGGCGGTGGTGAAGATGGCGGAGGAGATGTGGACTAGAGCTGGACGGAGGAGACTTCTTACACCGTAACGCTTGGTCCTCAGGTGCCCTGTTTTGCGTCATGAGCAGAGACCCCAAGTCCCCAAGCTCCTCCGTCCAGCTCCAGTCCGAGATCTGCTTCTGTTCTGCTTCTGTGCCATGATGGAGCAGAGAACCCAAGTGCCACATGAGGAGCTCGGCGGCTCTGCCAGGTCGCCAAGAGAGATCACCAACGCATGCTACACTCTCCATCAGAATTCAGCAGTCACAATCTCATTCTTCATAACTGCAACGTCAGTTGTGTTAACAGCCATGATTAAACATGCTACAAGAGAGAATCACACATCAGTTGTGTACGGAAAGCACACAGTTTGGAGAGTAAAACATCAACACTGCTGCACCATCCGCCGAGCGAATATGCTTCCAAAAACATCAAACGCTCCTTCATCAGGCCATTTACCTGAACATTCGGTACAGAATTGTTGAATCAGAAAAAGTAAATGAGCATCTGAATATCAAGCAGGTCAAATGAGAAGAAATCTTCCAAGAAAACATGCACATTAAGTGAACTAACTGTTTTAGATAAGATCACATTTAGCCTACCAGCGGCAGGTGGACTGATTCCAAAAATATTCATTATATCATGCCTCCTGTGATCACAAGTGCTACATTCTCTGTCAGAATTCAGAAGTCATTCTTCATAAGTGCAACATCAGTTGTATTAGCAGCCATGATAAATATCCTAATGCTACCAGGGAGAAAATCTCACATCTACTTGACTTTTAACTTGCAGCTAATTTCCCAGGTGTAAACAGCAAGTCAAGATGGTTCTTTTTGGAGAACCATGCTTCCTTGTAAGATTTACTAACAATCAACACGGACTGGCGCCTGCAAGAAAATGATACTTTGCAGGGAGAAATCTTATGTGTTCCCGACAAGTCCCTTTGCTTGAGAAGAGATCAATCATCAACGTTGTGGTTGAATGTTCAAGTGAGAAATTCCTCTCATCAATTTTGGACAGGTAAGTTCCAGCCCTGACTATTTCATTTTTCTCTAGTAATTCTCTAACCACATGATTCAGCAATCGAGAATTCGCCTCACAGCCAGCATTCTCCATGGATGAAAACATATCGTCTGCCTCTTCCACCAATCCTTCTTTTATAAGATTTGTCATCATTACAGTGTAAGTTACAACACAAGGTATCAGTCCATTTCCTGAGATTGAAGCAAACAGATCCTTGGCTTCTTCAACTCTCCTGATTTGAAACAGTCCAGCTATCATGATATTGAGAGTTGTGATATCAACATTTACATTCATTGCATGTAGTTCTTTGAAAAGCAAGATTGCTTCATCAGAGCAGCTGTTTTTAAAAAGTCCACCAAGAACTATGCTGTAAGTATATGTATCCATTGCGATTCCACTTTCAGTCATTTCATGAAATTTCACCTTTGCAGGAACTGTTCTCCCAGCCTGAAATAACCCATGAAGTATGATGTTGTATAAACTTGTTGAAGGCTTTATTCCCTTATGCAAAATTTCTCTGAAAAGTCTCAACCCTTCATCAATCCTCCCAACTTTACAATAGCCATTAACGAGTGTACCGTACACCACAACATTTGGTTGAATGCCAGCTGACACCATAGCATCAAATACTTCTAATGCTTTCTCCATCTTGCCAACTAGACAGTACCCATCCATCAGCGTACTATACACCATAACAGTAGGATGCAGACCAATACTTACAGTAAAGTCAAAAATATCTTGTGCGTCCATTACCCTTCCCACTTTGCAAAGGTTGTTTATTATCGAACTGAAGAAAACAATGTCAGGATGCATACCTTTAGTCATCATTTCCAATGCCAATTCCTTGGCTTTCAGCAAACCACCATGAATACAAAAACCTTGAATCAGGCAATAGTAACTTACCACATCAGGTTTCACTCCTTGCTCCCTCATTTCATTGAAGATAATCGTAGCCCTATCTAGCATTCCACAGTTAGCGTATGCCTTGATCAGCACACTGAAAATATGGATGTCAGGTGCAATACTGTCTCCAAGCATCAAATTGAAGAGATCTGCCATATCAACTAGGCATCCTTTAGTAGCGTACCCGTTGAGCATAATTTGGTAGGAGAAAATATCAGGTTTTTGGCCCTTCATTGCCATTGAGTCAAAAACATCTCTAGCATCCTTGATTTTTCCATGCTTGCAAAGGGAAGCCATTAACGAGTTCAAAGTAACAACATCTGGTAGGATGCCTCGACTTGTCATTTCTTTAAATACCCTCACTGCCTCCTTCCATTGACCCATAGAGGAATATCCATAGATCAAGTTGTTATACGTCCTGTTATTTGGCAGAACACCTTTATCAACCATTTGTCGAAGGATAGCCTCTGCCTTGTCCACTGCTCTTGCCTTACACAGTGCATGAACAACGGAGTTATAAGTCACTAAATTAGGTGAAATTCCCCGCTGTACCATTTCATTGAATAGATCACATGCTTTAGCAACATCGCCCTCCTTAAAGAAGCCATCGATGACCGTACTATACGCAACCACGTCTGGCGAGCAGACAGCTTTCCTTTCAACCATCATTCGTAGCAATTCATATGCCTGACCACTGTTTCCATTGTTGCAGAGGCTCTTTAGAAGTATGCAGTACGAGAAAACATCAGGCACACAGCCCAACTCAGGCATTCTGTGGAGAAGGATGTCCAGAGCCTCGTATGTCCGCTTTGCTTCACAAAGGCCCTTGAGAAGGTTGGTGATCATGATGGTATTGACGCCCAAGCCTGTCTTGAGAACCTGGCCGAAGAAGGTCAGCGTTTGCTCCGGGTGGTGCGCGCGGGTGCAGCAGTCCATGAGGATGCCATAGGTGCAGACTGTAGGGGACAGCACCTGCGGGCCGTCAGCTCGAGACGCGCGGTTGAAGAGAGCGACGGCAAGGGCAGGACCATCTCTGCAGGCGGCGGAGGACGGCGCACGCGCGAGCGCGGAGAGGAACCCGTTCAGCGTGCGCTGGGGGACGGGGGTGGCTTGACGCAGCAACTCTTCGAACAGGTGGTGTGCCTCCTCTGGGCGGAACGTCCCTGACAGGACCCGCGCCGTGGCGACGGCGAGGGCGAGGTGGGGAGCGCGCGAAGACGGCGAGGAGGAAGCGGCGGTGGTGAAGACGGCGGAGGAGATGCGGGCACGAGACGGCATTGCCGTGTCCGTGGGGTGGGATAAGGATTTGAAGGACGCGAGGTAGGACGTAGGAGACGAGCTTCTCTTCTCCATGTGCTTGACCGAATCCCTTCATCATTAGTGCTGATAGTCGGTACATGAGAAATTTCAATATTTGACATGGCATTCTATACATCTCTTAACACGCAATTCAAGTATGGTTTTGAATTGTTTTGATTCAAAGGATTTTTCTCATTTTCTAAACTTTTAATCTCTACTCCTTTTTCAAGCCACCTGAACTGACAAAAATGTTGGCCTAGTAATACATATCGATTCAAGTCATTCGTTCTGCTCTCGATTCTTAGACCGCCTGCTCCCGACGGCTAAGGCCTGGCGCCACAGCACACAAAAGTCGCAACACCACTGCCTCCTTCCGCCGCCCCTCCACCGCAGGAGGAGAACCGCCTGCCGCAACCCCTCCAAAGCCACACGACGCCACTCGACACGCTAGGGTTTCAACAAGCTCCGTAACACTAGAAGTTGCAACGGTGTTGTCCTTCACTAGCTGACGCTATGATCCCCTTTGAGATCCCTCTCTCGGACATTTTTTGACAGTTTAGATGGACTGAAAAAGGAGAAGAGATTAAAGAAAATAAAAAAGAGAGAGAAATGAACAAAAATCCCTTGAATTAAAACAATTCGCAAGCATAGAGTTAAATATCCAAAGGTGTATGTAAATATATGAGGCGTGCATATTCGGTGTCAAATGTCAAAGTTTCTCGTCACTGCAAGGCGCCCGAATTTTTTATTTTTTAGCCCTTTTTTGAAAGTTTTTCACAAATACACCCCTAGAGGAAATATTTCAGAATCTGGACCCTTAGCTCGGCACCATCGATGCTGGCGCCGAGCTAACACGTCTCGGCGCCAGCGTCCCTGGCGCCGAGCTCTTGGGCTCGAGACCCATGTGGAGGTGACATGGCAGGGAGCTCGGCGCCAGTTACCCTAGCGCCGAGCTTGGCGCCACAGATCTTGGCGCCAAGATCGGCGCCACGGTGACTGACGCCGAGCTTGTGTTTTAACCCCGGCCTAACCTTTCTGCCCGAGCCTTCTTCCTCTTCTTTGTCCTCCCTCTCGGGTTTTTTCTCTCCCCACTTCGTCCTACCTCACGAATCGGCATATTGGACCTTGAAAACTTTGATTTGATCCGTAGATCTTCGAGAGCAAGATATCCTCGCTCCTCTCCTAGCTTTTTTCGCATCAATTCAGTATATATTAGTCAGATTTTTCAACCTAAGAATCGTCATTACTTAGGGTTTCATTCTATCCCTTAATATTTATATTATACAACCGTAGGATGATGCCAATGCGTGGAAAAGCTAGCAAACCTAGGCGCATGTAGTTATGTTATGGATTCATTGTTGTGCATCAAATGGAAAACCCTAGGTTTAGAGTTTAATGTTAATTGCTTTTGGTTCTTAGAACGAAATTGGTTGTATTGTAGTTATGGTTCTCATTGACATTTATTTGTGATGTTTTGATTTATGTTTGTTAAATTACATCTGTTTTGTTAGATGCAAGAAATGTTTCGGGAGGAGTTTTGGCAAAAATGGGGTCGTCCTCGAGAATTATGCCCCGACGCGTCTAGCAAAGATGCCCTCGTCCCTCCTAACCTCCCTGTCCCTAACTGTGACTGTGGTTTCCCGGCCCATATTTTTCAATCGAAACATCTGAACACAGCAGCGCGGTGCTTCTACACATGCAGTCGTTTTAATATAAGAAATTGTTTCCACTATCTTTTTTCTTTATTTGTGTAAGTATGCTACTAATATTTTGTTGGAATCTCGTTGTGTAGGACCATGAGAGGTGCTTTTTCTTTCAGTGGATCGACAGTGCAGACAAGTTTGATCCTAGGTACCTCCTTTTCGACGATTGGTTTAGAGGGAGACATCCACGTGAGCACTTCAAGCGGTGGGTTCCAACCCCCCCCTAACCCTTCGCCAATGACAGCTAAGGAGAAGCACCTAGCCACAGTTAGACGACTCAAGGAACCTCCTCTGTGCGATTGTGGAGATCGAGCTGTGATAAACCCTGAGAATATGTTGGAGTTTGTGTGTTCAAACAAACATGAAGTAAGTGCAAAGTGTATGTGTTGAAATGTTGAGCTATATGTGTTCATGTACTAATGTCACCTTATTTAGGTGTTTTCAATGGCGAAGTGTCATTTCAAGGAGTGGTTGTATGGTCCTAAGAACCAATGGCCGGAAGAACCACGAAAGGTTAAGGAAAAGAAGAAAGAAAGGGTAATTTACAAAGCATCTCCTGTCATGTGCGAATGTGGTGTTAAATCCAACTATGGCCTAGTCCCTTCGGAGCTTGGAATAGGCCATTATTACAGCCATATGGTTGAGTATGATGGTGTTGGTTATTTTTATGGTAAACATGAAATCGTATTTTGTTTCTTTTGCTAAGACATATATGATATAATATTTCTTTTGAACAGAGCACTAGGAAATAAAGGTGGGAATGTTATGATGGTCAAGCTAAGTTCTTGGATGAACTGAAGGGGAGGCAAGTAATTGCACGGAAGAGGGGATATGGACCTGACTACGTCAACCTATTCGTTAAACATCACAAAGAAAAGATTTGTGAGTTTGCTAGACAGCGCGGTATTTGTAACCCGATCGATGTTAGGCTTAACAAATGAGGATTGGAGAGGCGGATGACGTTAGAGGAGGAGAGGGCAAGGAAGGAGGCAAGGGAGGAGACAAGAGTACAGATGCAGGTCTTGAACGAGCATGTTGTTGCATTATGTGCCAGTGAGTGCTTGAAAGCCTTTTTTCGTTGCCTGATTTTAAATGTAATATAATCGCGTTGCTAACTGATTGCATTTTATACATGAAAGGATTGGTTGCAGCGAGGAACATGCCGCAGAGGTGACTCGTGCAAGGTATGAGGAGAAGAAGTTAGATGAGCATAGATCACGAGTTGGTCGCACCGTTCAATCACTAATTGTGTTGTCTGATGAGGGGGGCGAGGATGAGGATGACACTGGCAGACTGAGTGAGCTCATTGCTCTAGCAGAGGCGGGCTTGCAGGCGTAGGAGGCTAAGGACGATACTGGTAGACTAAGCGAGCTCATCGCTCTAGCAGAGGCGGGCTTGTAGGCGGAGGAGGCTGAGGACAACACTAGCAAACTGAGCGAGCTCATCACTCTAGCAGAGGTGGAGGAGGATGACGACGCGTTCTTCACTCAGGCCACAGCGGCCGCAGATGAAGCGGAGGCCGCTTACTACAGGCAACAGGCAGGTTAGAGCAATGCAGGTGAGCCTAGCCACAGCAACAGGGTTGTGGTAGAGGACTGGTACTCGAATGATGAGTTGCTTACTCAGTATGTTTTAGACTGAGGATTTGAATGTGCATTTGCCCCCTATGTGGATTTTGGTGTATTGATGACATCCAAATTAGGGACTAATGTGATCTTAATGAGATATGTCGCAACTATTACTCATTATGCGCTCTCTAATGGTTTTATTTTTGTTTTTGAGTTTAGGATGCAAACTTAGTTGGTCTGAGGAAGATATAGTGCTCAATCATAAAAATAAAATCAAAAGAGAGACACTCTAGCACTCCACGGGCATGTAGAATATTTTTCAGTGACTGTTAGTGTCGGAAGTCCCGACGTAAGCCGGAACTCCCAAGAGTCGGAAGTCACGACTCATGCCGGAAGTCCTGACGCCCAGTCACTTAGCCTGTGCAGTGATTGTGGCCGTTGGAAGTCCCGACGTGAGTCGGAACTTCCGACAGTCGAAAGTCCCGACCCAAGTCGGGACTCCCGACCCAAGTCTGTCCGATACGATTGGACTATACATGTTCTAATAAATTTACATTTAATCTATGTACTAGATTTGAGCCTTTTCAACACACAAAACACATGAAATGGCATGTAAGATCATGTACCGAACTAGGGTACAGAATTCCTTCGACTAAACCTAACATGCCTTAGGTAATTAAACCAAATAACAAACACATAGATGTGCCATGTGAATAAGATAAAGTCGTCCTAGTAGTGTGGCCACATAGCAAATTGTGTTGCACCTTCTCCAAAGTAGCCTCCCATTGTTGGTGGTGGTGGCGGCGGAGGACCCTTGTTCCTGTGATTAGGGCAGGTGCAATATGGATCATTGCAGAGTGCCTCCTGTAAATCAGCACCGCTGTTGTTGTCGTCCTGTTCGTCGTCCTTGTAACCGCTGCTAACTTCCCTTTCTAGATTGAAGATACGGTCCTGTAGGTAGTAGATGTACTCCACATGCGGATAAATAGGTCGAGGATCGACCCACCTAGTGAACCCACAGTTTTCTTCGGCCAAGGAAGACTGCAATAAGTATGTCATGTAAGTTGTATAGACGAGGAACATATTGAAGAAACAAATATTAATAGCAAGTACCCATGCTCGTGGGCATTTGAAGAAACGACGACCTCCATCTATTCCCTCGGTGAACATCTGCACTAGGCAGTCCTCACCATGTATGCATTTTGGCCACTCTTCTTTATGTTCATCGTATCCTCTTAGTGGTGCCTGTTTGGTGAAATCGCTTTTGCTCTCAACTGGGAACCTCTCATAAAGAGCTTCCTCAAAGAAATTGGAACCAAGAGGACCCTCCCACCTAATGGTTGTTCCCTTCCCCTTTCCTCTCCCTATGGATGACCCTCTAGACATTGGTACTGCAACGAAAGAAAATGCTGAGAAGTGCTCTTCTTCCTGGTTTTGTGTGTGAATGAGAGGGAGTGAGGGGTTATTTATAGGTTGAGAGGAGGAATGGAGGCCTCTCAATGTGCCATCTCAGCGATCTGTGTGCCTCTTCACCTCAGCCCTTGGATCAAACAGTCATAAGATGGATGGTGGAGATGGAGTGGAGTTGTGCTTCCTTGCATGCCAGTACTATGTCAGTGAAGTGATAAATCGATGATGTCTTTGTATCTGAAAAGTCTATTTTTATTGTCTGAAAAGCCTAGGTTCGTTCACTGTTGCTTGGTAACCC